AATGCATTCATATATACATATTTATGTACAACTGTAGCTAATATTGTACGCGTCTTCCCAGGTAGGTTAAGTGCGGGTGATAAACACATGTAGCATAGTTAAATACTGTGTACATAACTACAATTAAAACGTTGAAAATGTTACAATTTCGGCATATGACTGAAAAAAAAACTCTAAAATACACACAAATTGTGGTTTCCAAGGCATGTACGAAGTGATTAGCACAGCTGCATCCTTCAACTTGTCAACTCGCGGGAAATTCCCCGATTTGCAGGTAATTTCGGTTTAAGTGGTAATCGGGGTATGTTATTTTTATATCTTAAAGTAACCGAATTAGACGAGTATGTTAATTTTTAACCATTTGACCCTTTTTGGAGCGACATTTTTTCAATTTGAATCGTAATATCTCCACAACAAGAGTTTTCCCAGATATAAGCTATATACCAGATGAAAGTTAAGGTTTCGGGCTAGATTTGTGGAGACTAAGAATAAAATCGCCTGACCAGTTTTTGAGAAAATTCTCGAAATCTATGGCCCTTATTATGAGCTGCATTCGATTTTCGATCTTCGCTGGCTATCGAAGATCGAAGATCGAAAGTGAAATTCGTATTATGAGCTATGCAGGCGTGTCGAAATTTTCGTTGAGTATCGAATTTTCTGTCGAACAGAATTTTGCTTTCGATGGTGTAACGAAGTGTTAGAAAATTGTGAAAAATGTATGATTTTGTATATGTTTTCTTACATTTTGGCGGCTAGACACTAATTTTAAATTTTTTTTTTTTAATTTCATGCAGTTCTAACATCGTGAATACTAAACACAAGCTCGAAAGGCTGGTTTTACTTGTGAAAGAAAATCCCAATGCTCTGTTGGCACGATCTCTGAGAACAAAATCGTAGCGCTGTTGATAGTTTTAAAATATTTTAAATAGATTTGGCTCACAAACGCCTCTTTAGATGGTTGGATCTTTTTAATGAATCTGTAGACAAATTTCTTAAATATATTTTATATCAAAATATATTCGAAAGACTAATAAACTTAAATGTTTAAGAGAGCATTTGCTACTCCTGGCCAGTTTACTAAGCTCTCATCCTCTGACGAATCGTTGAACCAGAACTCGTTGTACTCATTTTACCACGTTTTTATAAAATTGCTTTCTTTTTTACTTCATTTTAATTAGAACAAATTTGCATAAATATGTATAAGCACACTATTTAGTTTGCTCGATTTGTAAACAAAGCTTCTCAGCGGTGAAAAATATACTATTGTGAACAACCTAAACGAGTGAAATTCACAATAGCGCTATTCTTCATCGAATGAGCGCCATAATACCAAATGAAAATTCGTTCGCTCAGCACTTTCGACCACAGTCGAAAATCGAATGCAACTCATAATAGGGGCCTATATTTTCAGCAGCCCGATTTTTAGTTTTCAGGCGATAACGTTATGACATATTTATATTTCATAAACACAAAAGATAGAGTTAGATAGCTTGTTTGAAGGCCCTTCTACTGATATCCACATGAATGACATGGACTGAGTAGTGAGGTCTCAGTTGTAGTTTAAAAAATTGCATTTTTTTCGAAATTCAGTCAGCAGCCACGCCCACAAAGGCATACGAATCAAAACATCCTGGAACAAAACCATCTTAGTTTTTTTTGTACTTTAATTCCTGAAAGTTTGAAAAAATTAAATGATGGTACGTAAAGATGCCACATACATACCAAAGCATCTCGTAGTGGAGACACGAACCAAAACACATATACCTCTATATCTTTCCAACTAGTTGCCGGAACTTAATATATAAGGTATCGTTTGAAAGGTATTGGCCTATAGAATAACACTAAATATGTTGGGTGTGCCCACATGCCCCCTTAAACCGGCAAAAGCAAAAAACGTTTTTTGTTTCGCAACACTTTAGCCTAATTTTTAAGAATCCGGTTAATCGCTTATGAAGCTTGAATACATTTTCTGGACACACTCTGCAAGACCTTTCCAACGATATCTCAAACATGTCCATTGGACGTCTGGATAAAAACTTCCAAATCTCGTGTATATAACTATAAGCGAGTCATTTCAGCATGCTACTATGGCTGCTTTCGTCACTCGCGCGCACTGCCGTTCGCTGTGATAAGCGAGTCATTTCAGCATGCTACTATGGCTGCTTTCGTCACTCGCGCACACTGCCGTGCGCTGTGTATAATATGTGCAACTGAGATAGAATAATACTGTAGCGCCACTACAAATACCTAAAAAAAGTTCTCTGAAAATTTGAGCCTTTAATATCAATATTAAGTGCTCGACCAAGGCGTGAAAAGATTTTTCGTTTAAAATATGTACTTTGATTGTTTTCCTTCCAAGTTTATAGCTAAGAGACATTTTATGGTTTAATCTTGTCAATGATAGGGATTTTTTAGAATTTAATGCTCTACAAAAGTGTCAAATTCAGCCTAACTCTAACTCTCCCACAAACTCATTTGTTTTGACCCTATTTTGAACTGGAAATTTTTGCACGCCTTGGTTGAGGACTTTATTTTAGTATTAAGGGCTAAAATTTTCCGGGAACTTGTTTTCAGGTACTTCCTACACAATTTCGAGGTGGAAGTAAAAAAAAAAATAGTCGCCGAAAAAATCACCCTGGTATGTATGTACCGGACGTTCAGATTTTTTGAGCAGTGTGGCTAAGGATCTCATCAAAAGCAAAAAATTTATTTGTCAAAAGTATTAAGGAAAATGGGCGTGGCGCCCCTCACTCATATATGTGCGTAACTAAAAAACTGCTTCATCTCGAGCACACTATATACATATTGTTCTTAGCCTCCTTAAGCCCCGCCTTGAAAATTTTTAAATCGAACAAAACCTACTCCCCCCAAAATATAGCTAGCTTTGAGTTTTTTGAAATTACCGTTATAAGAGCGGGGAGCCTGGTTTTTGTTCGATTTCAAAAATCTGATGAAAAATAGTCAAGCTGTTAATAAATAAGTGCATCAAGTACGAACATAAGAGTTGTTTTGAAATAAAAAAATGGGGTTTCGGGAACAATAAGGAATCTATTTTAATGTTGTACTCGACCATAGCTACAACCTACACTAGGTTTTGTTTCGGGTATATTTTTTGTAGCACCGCATAATAGGTGAAAATAATTTGAAATTTCCTAGCTGCATAAATGGACGAGTTATGACAAAAAATCTCATTTCTGAACAATCAGTTTTATGGGAACTACGAGTTACAGTGTTTCGATTTTGGTGATTCCCACAAACGATTAATGCGTTATAAAAATACACGCACTTATCAAATTTTAGTCTGATATCTCAAAAACTGTGTGACCAGATTGGGTTCAAACAGACGGTAATGGTTCTGATCATTTTGTATACATTTTCATGAACTAAGAAAGAAGTAACATGATTTTTTCATACAGAGTAATTTTCGGTTTTTCCATGTCAGCGATTTAACATTTTTGAACAGAAAAACTACTTTTTTTTATCAGACTTATGTCGTTTTCGTTTCTACCGAAGAATGTTACCTTCTCTTTGCCCTCTACGCACAAATACTAAGAAGAGGGCAATGAGAAGGCTACATGTTTTGTAGAAACGAGAACGCCATTACACATTAGTTTGTTCGATTGCCCACAGTTTGAAAACCAATGGGTTCGAGAAATTAATTACAGTTATAAAGTTATGTACCACCACTCAACGGAGCTGAGATTCGTGCTAGTTGTTATGCTTAACAGTTCGTAGTTTGAAAACAAAAAAAAAACTCCTGAAAATGTGCGGTTGACTGTGAAGTGACCATTTGAAATATTTACTACTGCTGAAAAATTAACCAAAAATACTGCTACAGTACTGTACCAGCTTTATTTACATGTATAGGGTGTTCTGTAAAATTATTTAATAAAGGAGATGGGGGCGGGGAAGGTTGAATTTAAAACTTTGTGAGTTAAAGGGGAAGAAAATAGTTGACAGTCATTTTTAGAAAAAAGTTCTATTCTCAACGGTAAGTTCTAGTCAAAATTTGGCTCTAACGATTTTTATACTATTTTATATTCTGATAATGTTTTTGATTTTAAGGTTATCTAGACAGGTGTTATCTCTGGATATATTCGTACAAAGTTGCCATCTATTCGAAACTATTTATAAGTTAAATAAAACCTCATATTGGCTATGACGTGAAAAGTATTTTAAAAATCCCCAATTAAGAGATATTGTTAATAGGGTTGCTACCTATTTTCCATTTTATATTTATTTGAATTATTGTTTAGAAATAAAGATACAATATTTTTATTCACGGATACTGAAAGAAAGATTTTAAACAACTCTTTTCCTATGTTGTGAGTGTTATCCGTTAGTATATTAGTTTAATGGTGCCCCTTAATTTCGATTATCCAAAATTTTACTAACACAATTAAAATGGATATCAAATTAAAAGTATTTTTGAGAACTTTAATCCAGAAATATGTTTGATGAGGGTCGCCACGTTTTATTTTTGTAATACGAATTTGTCTCTTATTCCCTTAATTAAAGTTGAATTTGATTTTTAAATAGGTGGTAACCCTCCCACATGTTATTTACAAATAAAGCCTTTTCAAAACCATTTCAATTGATACTCATATTGTAGTAATTAATTTAACTTAATCGTATCTATTTTTTTTGGCGGTGGTAGCTCCTTTTTTATGCTCTAACCTAGATATAAGCCTTCTCCTCGCCGAGACGAACACGCAGGTATGCGTTCTTCTATAATCGGGCCACGGCAACATAGAATAGTATATCGGTGTTTAACTTTAATTTCGTTGATTTGGTGCAAAAATTGGACGTCCTTCCCGCCTATTTATTTCATTTTAAACATTTGCTTGTGCTTGGTGTATACGCGATAAAAGCACACAAACAATTTTGGTGGTATGTGTAGAAAATTTAAATACCCTATCAATTTATGTCAATGTTCAAATGATATTTTGTACTTACTTGCTCGTTCAAATCCGAATTCAAATAACGAATCTATTAAACAATTAATGTTTGACGTGATTTTATTATTTCTTTGCTGATGACTTAATTGAACCTTAGAGTACATTTACTTGTAATTTTATTACAACATAGACGCCATTCGTAATTTAGACTTTAAAATATACAACAACGCTGTTTCGACTTTAATTTTGATATTTAGATTATACATACATACATTTTATTTATTTTTAATTTTGATAAACATTTTAATTATTTAGTTAATAAAATAAATATTTCTTCTTTTATTTTTGTAGCATCGCGCCAGGTGGCACAAATGCTCTGTACAATGACAATAATTATTTGCATATTTTTAGTAATTATAATTACATACAGTACAAGTAATTGCATGCTTCTGCGCGTATGCGAAACCGCACATACAAACGTACATCACACACATACGTATGTACATATAATATGTTACATCACTAGCATTTTACGCAACAATAATTCGTGCCTGCTACGTTTTGTAGATACATTTTTTCCAGTGTAAAGAAATTATCAGAGGAAAGACATTCAATGCCAAAATTGACTGCAAAGATAAAACGAATCAGCTATTCAACCAATGAGTCCATTTATTTCAGGTGCGCTCTGTAGGCGTCTCGAGCTCTTGCGCTCACTGCGTCCTACTATGGATGCGATGATCCCATCCGCGGCGGTCCGTAAAGAGAATAGGGCGCAAAGTACTGCGCTAGCGCCGGGTGTGGTGGCATCGGCAAACCACTCAATGTGCCAGCTGCAGAGGCAAGTGGCGGTGGTAGCATGGACGGTTTGCCATATGGATGATAGCGTGCAGCGGACAGGGGACTCAACGGCGGTGTGGGGTAAGTGCGCTGAAATAGCGGATGTGTGGGTGGGATACCGCCTGCAGCAGCAGCGCTCAGCACTGAGTCAGGCAGCGATGCGGTGTGTGTGCGCAAATGTTGAAACAGCTCATCGGAGGTGGCGAAGCGCTTACCGCAATACGCCGCATCGGCGCTGATCCACGAACAGACGTAGGGCATTTGTGAGGCAGCAGCCAGCGCAGCCAATTGCGCGTGATATGATGAAGCGGCCGCTGCTGCAACGGCGGCTGCAGCCGAAGAGCCGCCTCCGCCCATCGATGACGATTTACCACTGCTACCCTCACACTGTGGGCAACCGGCAGCACATGGCTGCCCGGCGGCTTTGTTGAGAAAATGCGGCGAGGATGGACAACCGGTGCAGTAGGGATCACGGCAGATATTCGGTGTCATCATGGTGGCTGGATCGATGCCCTTCAGACGGGCGTAGTTCAAGTAAGGATGTAAAGCGGCAGCCTTAAATATTGGATGGTGCTGTGACATTAGAGCGCTCGCCGTCATCACGTCCATTGCATATGGTAGCCCGCTCGAGGGATTACCACCCGGATAGCCAGCATAGTAGGAACCTGAGCTCGTCGTCGGCACACCTGCAGCGGCAGCCGCAGCATGTAACGCTTTAACGTAGTTGGCTTCTTTGGCAGCAGCGATGGCCGTGTCAGTGGCCGATTGCAAACGTGATTGGCTAGCAGCTGCTGCAGCCGCAGCACTTGGACTCATTTGCGCACTGCTAGTTGTGTGACTCAACGTCGCCGATTCCTTGGAGGAGGAGCGTTGCTGCGGACTACTACTATTACTTATACGTTGCTGCAAATCCATCACAGCGCCAGCGGAGGCAATAGGCGAACTCTTGTGCAAACCATTCATGCTGGTCGCTGGCGAGTCGCGCTGTGAGGTGGCACTTTGGTTTGAATCACAACGTTGTTGTTGCAGCTGTGCTGCCTGCTGTTGGCCATTCAACAGCATAACGCTGCCGCTGCCATTGCTCTTTGGTGTTCGCACTCGGCCGCTATTGCCGATGAGATTTAAACTGTTCGCAGACGCACCAGTACTTAGATTGGTGGCGCGTTCTGTCTCTAATTCAAGTCTGTCTCGCATATGATTGTTGTTTGTTATGTTATTATTCGACTCATATGGCTTAAAGCTGGATTTGATGTGTTCCACGGACCCGGTTGACACGGACGATGATTGACTGCTAACCGGCGAGGATTTGTCGCGTCCATCAACGCCACCAGACTTCAGCGACGATTTGGTTGATTTTTCGATGTTGGCGGCAAGCAGTTTCGGGTTGGTAGTATCCGCACCGATTGCGCTGCACGTCTGCGCTAGCAGGGCTAGCGGACTGCTTTTGGTGTCCAGCTGTAATGAGAAGAAATTTTATAAATACATTAGTAAGTCGAAATTATGCAGAGTATTTATGGATATTATGGGCTAAGTTTGTAATAAGTAATTCATATAATAAATAAATCGGAGTATATGGTGTAATATGTGCAATCAAAAAAGTGCATGTAAAACTACTACTGAAAAGTGTTTATTTTTCAACCAGAATCAGTTCAAGTATATGTACAAGATTTTCAAGATTTGATTTTGAACATGAGTTGTTTAAAATTTACACATAAATACACACCCGAAATGTTTAAAATCACAAACATTTTGAAAGTAAAAATATATTTTTTACAAATAATAAATATTAAGTGCCAGGGGCGCACGCAGGAATATATTTTTTGGGGGAAAGGATTTATACTTCTAAATATATATCATCAGAAAATACTGAAAATTCGCTCTTTAAAAAACATTTATGCAAGTTTTATGTACAGTATGAAATAAATAAATAAACTTTTTAAAGTTTCATAAATTGCATTTTATTAACATAAAATTTACAAAGAACTCGGACATTTTTAACCGGCTTCAAAAAAGGGGAGGTTATCAATTCTTTGGCGTATTTTTACTTCTTTTATTTATTCCACCGCATAACTTTGCATCGCGTGAACCGATTCCAATAATTCTTTTTTTACCGGAAAGATGGTACCTTAAGGGTCGTCCCGTAATTTGGTTTAGATGGTTTATTAAATCATAAAAAAATTAACGGTTAAAGATGCACTCAACTTTCAAAAGTAATACAAAATTTTTCAAAAGAATTTTAATATAAATAATATAATTAATTTCACGAAATTTTTGCACTGTTTTATTCATTTTCGTCGATTTCTGGTTTCTCATTTTTAAATACTTCGAATAACGAAAATTTAACTGAACTTGTATTTTTATCATGTAGCTAATTTTGGTGGAACGAATTCGAAGTTAGCAAATTAAATCTTCGAATGCTTATTAAGTACATATCAGTGGTAAACTTTTTTAGGCTGTAAAGTGTAAAAATCAACAGTAAGTGAGTATGCATTGCATATTTTAGGACAATGTTTTCATTCGCGGTTAAACTTTAAAGAGCTCTCAAGAAAAAAAGAAAAATTCTTACAAAATGACGCACAAGAAATGGAAAAGAAATTTTTGTCTATCAAAATTTCTTAAATCATAATAAATTTAACCCCAAAATCCAAACTTTGAGTGCGCTATGTGACAAATTTGATATGTAAAAGTAAACAGACAGTGTTTAATTTTGCACACACTAGGAGAGGAAACTGGTTATCTCTCTTTATATGCGTAGATTTAAACGAAAAATTTTTAGAGGAAACTTTAAACATTTTATGTGTAAACTGTGAAAACGTGAACAATAAATATTTAAAGCCCAAAAAACAAATTTGAAATTTGTTCTACGCCACACATGATAAGTAAAATTAAGCAAGCAGTGTGTAAATTTGCATTCATTAAGTGAGGAAACTGGTTACCTATCTTAATATGCGCAAATTTAAACAAAAATTTTTTAGAGTGTGCCCTGCAGTGAAAAGCCAAACCAGTCAGAAAAAATACTAGTTCATTAACTAGCATGTGCCTACCAGTTCGACAATTTCGAAGAACTTAGGCGATCAGCGACATCTGCCTTTGAATTGCCAAAGCCAAAAATAAAACGCAATTAATTGCTTTTCTTACAAATCTCGGCTGTGGCGTCACGTGAAGACTACTGGTTCTGGTTCTGAAATCGCAGGTTCGAGGCCGCTTGGGGGTGGTTCAGATTTTTAAAGTTAAATAAATGTAAGTAAAATAATTTATTCAATTTATAAATAAATAACAAATTTGAAAACCTAATTGCACTGCAAAAAAACATTTAGGAAGAAATGCTTGTGCTATAAAAACAAAGTAATTAAACAATATTTTTTGATAAAATTTAAAAATTACAATAAACAGCCTAAACAAAAAAATAAATTTATAAAAAATAAAAATAAAATAAAAAAAAGAAAATAAAAAAAAATTTCCCTGCGCCAGGATTTGAACCTGGGACCTCAGGCTTACCACGCGAGTGCTTTGCTCTGTCGGCCATTGTGACTGCTGGAGCGTCGCGAGCAAAAAGGCACACTTATGCTTTTCACGGGGCATGAATTGGCAGACTATCTCATCAACTGGTATGATGCTACTAGTATTTATACTAGTAGATGCTGATGCATAGCCTGACAATTGACATCTCGTAGGACATCGCAATGTTAAAAATACCAGTCGCTAACATTGAAAAAGGATAGAACGTGAACTAGTTCGGCTGAAACGCAAACCGGTAGAATTCTAGTTCACAACTAGTAGCTTTCCCTGCAGGGTATACATTTGCACACACTTGTCTCAAAGTAAACTGTGAGGCAGCGAAGGTCTCGATTTTACGTCATTGCTAAATGGGCCAATCATTTGATTTTAAAAATAATTTTCTTCATTTACATAGGTCTTAGGTTAGGTTAGGTTGAAGTGGCTGCTAGGCCCAGAGGGCGCCAGCACACTTAGGCCCGATCAGGGCCCATTGTGATACCACATGGATCCAAAGAAAACCCCTACTCCTTAAACCAGTTTGTGGAGTCTGCAAACCTTAGCAACTGCCGTATTCCAAACTTAGCAGTCGCGCTTAGATCGTCTAGAAGACCTATACCTAGGAATTTCTGTCTTTTCCTGCCCAGTGCTGGGCAATCGCAGAGTAAGTGCCTTATTGATTCAGGCTCTTCTTCGTCGTGGCAGCTCCTGCAGTAGTCGTTGTGACTAACCCCGAGGCGTTCTGCGTGCCTTCCTATCAGAATATGTCCTGTGAGCAGACCAATGGCCAGTGACATATCGCCTTTATTGAGAGTGAGAATTTCTCTCGATCTCCGTACATCCCATTTTGGCCATGTAAGCTTCGTTGTATTACAGTTTTCAGTGCGCTCCCATCTGGAGGCCGCTTCTTCAAGGAAGTTCTCCCTTAGTAAGAGCTTGCAGGAAGCGAGTGGCATACCCACCCTCTTCCAGGCTGGTTAAAGTGGAGAGCAAGTACCCGCCCTTGCAAGCTCGTCTGCCTTCTCATTTCCTGGTATGTCACTGTGCCCCGGTACCCATACCAGGTGCAAAGCGAACTGCTCTGCCATCACGTTAAGTGATTTGCGGCAGTTGGCAACTGTTTCCGAATTTATAGTGACAGAGTCAAGCGCCATAAGGGCCGCCTGACTGTCTGAGTATATATATATTTCCGTAGTGGCGATAACAGCTAGTTTTAGGCTGTCAACGGCTTCTTGTATGGCTGCCATAGGTCTTACATAGATACAAATATATGAGTTTAAATAAAATTTTAATCCCAGCAAACATTTGGAGTAATAAATGAGTCTTTAGGGAGTCATATTTCGGAGCCTTTACGCTCATAATGAGCTCAGTACCAGGTTGACTGAGCTTTGCCCGGAGTACATATTCTTTTTAAAGGTTTCAAGATTTGGATAGCTTTATAAAAATATTTAGGAAATAAAAAAAAAATTGGATTTCGATATCTATTAAGTAAATGAAATACCTGGAATGAATGGTACATATCTTGAGCGTATACATATGTACTGTGTATACATAAAAAAAACTGATTGAAATTAACAAAATAAAAATTTGTATTACAAAGAAGCGCGGAATCCCTGATGTAAAATATTTTCTCAACAAAAAGTTAACAACAATACCTTTCATTTGATATACATATTGCGATGTTTTAAATAAATTGTGTAGAATCGAAAATAAGTGGCAACCTTACACTATTGTGTTAAGGGATAACATTATGTATACAGGGAAAGCATTGTTTAAGAACCTTTTCTTGGTACCCATAAATAGTAATATTTTACCTTTTTTTCTACAAAAAATTAAATAAATATGCGATTCAAATTAGGTGGCAACCCTAAAAATAGTTTTTAATTAGGTATCTTTAAAATACCTTCCAATTGATACCCATATTATGATGTTGTAATTAATTTGTAACTAATTTCGAATAGGTGGAAATCTTATACGAGCCTTCTAGGAGATAGTGCCTATTCAGATAACCTTAAAATCCAAAACATTTTCTGTGTACAAAACGAGAACGCCATAGATATATATATATATATATATATGTATATTAGAGTGGTTCAAATTTTTTTTTTTGGAAATTTATAAACGCTATCTCAAATTATTGTTATTTGTGATAAAAAAAAAGAAACGTACTTTTTTTATTTTGAAAAAAAGTTTGTTTAGAGGACGCGCTGGTCGGTTTTTTATAAAAACGCTGATATTCTCAATTTTTTGTTTTCTTGACATGTTAAAATTCAGGTAAAAATGTGATTTTTGTATATAACTTCTCTGGTATTATTGGGGAACATTCCCTTAATTACATACCTGTCTTGGGTAGTTAGAATGGGCCTAATGCCCGAAAATATGCTCTCGAAAAGAGACTAATAAAATTGAAACGTTGCTACTGAACGATTTACGCGTTGTCATGGGTTGGAACTTGTTATCAGGGGGTTTCGTGGGTTGCTAATTAGGAACCTGAAGTCAGTTTTTTAAAATTCAAAATGGCGGATCCAAAATGGCGATACATTTTTTTTTTAATTATTGGATTGGTTTGAAAACCCGCACTCGGGAGTTTTTGAGGTCGCCGAATACGAATCTAAAGTCAATTTTTTTTTAATTCAAAATGGCGGATCGAATATGGCGATCAAATTTAAAAAAGTGTTACTAAAATTAAAACGTTGTTACTGAACGTTTTAAGCATTGTCAAGAGGTGAAACTCGTTTCCAGTAGGTTTCTGGGGTTGCTGATTACGAATCTGTTTTCAGATTTTCACAATTCAAAATGGTGGATCCAAGATGGCGACCAACTTTAAAAAAAAATATTGGATTTGTTTGAAACTCCTAACCGCTCTTAACTGACTTCAGATTCCTAATTAGCAACCTCAGAAACCCCCTGGTAACAAGTTCCAACCCATGACAATGCGTAAATCGTTCAGTATCAACGTTTTAATT